GGCAAAGCTAATAAAGTTAAAATTAAAATGTCAGTTGAGATCAGAATTGGCTTTTTCCAATCAAGCTATTTATCAGTATCTGATGTATCATCTGTATCATCCGTATTCCCTCTTAAACTCCCCTAAGAAAAAACCTTTGTATCTTTGGAAGCCTAAAATTGGTTTTTAAGTTTATTTTATTTATTTTTTAATTTTATTAGCTTTGCCCTGAAGGATACACAAACTGGAAATAAATTTCGTTAATACATACACTGGACATAAATTAAGGATGGGGGGGACCTACGTAGCACGCAGTTGATGTAATGTATTCATAAAATGTATTGTATTCCATTGTTTCTCGTTCTATTGTATTATGTGTTTTGTATGTAATATATACAGAACTAATGTTTTATTAATTAGGTCTGTATCAGGAAAACGTTGAATGATAATCAGCCCCGCACTCCCCTGAAAATATTCCAAGCCGCCCCCAACTTTGAGCTTGCTGCACCTTTTATCCAATATAAAGGTATAATCACGTGATTAGATTCTCAGTATATCATTGGCTAATGACATTATGAATTATTAATGAGTTTAATAATATATCTTTATGATTATATTACATCAACTGAGTGCTACGTAGGCTCTCCCAATCAAGGATAGGGCAGGGACACCGCAACAGCGTGAGCCAATTACTGCGGACCCTATAGATAATGGCAAGAACCACATACAACAACTAATTGCATGGTCTAAAAACCTGGCTGTACTACACAGTTGCTAGTTGCTAGGATTGTGTGTGACCTGGTGCCAACACTTATCAATTACTCAATTTATTTCAGTCACTGCAGCAAAATTTAAATTTAAATTTAAAATTTTAATGCTTACTTACCATAACAAAGTTGCAAAATAATTAATCCAATGTCAGTAGATCCACTAAACGAACTTCAAACTCTTCACTAGATCGCAAGTCAAGGGTTTTTTTCGTTGTGAGCCAACCACTGGGCAATGGATGCAGTGACATCCATCAGTAATTCATATGAGCGGCATAAAACAATGCCAAACAGCAGCTGAAAAAATATAATATATCATTATGAAGAAACATCACACGACGAAAACTGTCTAAACTAAAAAATAATTGTAAACTTCCATCACAAGTACATAAACTAAACTATAACTTCCCAGTAAGAATTCCGAAAGGATTTTTGACTTAAAACGTCTCATTCTATCATCATGTTTTATTCATATTCAATTTAAACCCATTGTTGCACCCAAAAAGCAATTTAACTTACCGAAGTTTGTCGAAGATTTTGCCAATTTTGTTTTTCGATGATCGATGATCGACTTCGTGAAACAAGAGCTCTTTGAATCCCAAATTGATCCAGTGTGTAGCAATTCTTCTTGATAAGGTACGTTTTTAAACTACGAATTTGTTTTTTTTTTTTTTAAATCTGATTTAAAATATACAACAGTATCAAGTTTTCACCCTTTGCAGATGTTGACATGTTGGCATCACACGATATCCTCGTGAGGTGTTTCAAGCTTGATTGTAGACCAACCAAAATCATGGTAAGCTCGTGCTGACCATTTCTGCTGATTGTTTAGCGAAAAAAATATAATCGGAATGATTTTGAAAAGCGATTTGAAAACCACGCAACAACAATGCAATAACAAAAGTTACATCACTATTAGAAGTATTAAACAATTTATAGACATTTTGGAGTGACGAATAGTGCCTGGCATCTTATCTGGATCTTATAATGATTGTTTTGCTTCATCATTTCTCACAAAAAGCAAGCAAATGAAAGTCAATTTAAATTTACAAATACATGGTATACATAACAACAGAA